GGAGGGGGGGAGGGGGGGAGGGGGGGGAAAAGTCTCAGGTGCGTTGCAAGCAGGCAGGTAAGTGGCTGCTGCTGGGTGGGAGAGGGAGTGTGGGGGCATGCGGGTGGCTGGGGAGGCGTGGCACGAGCATGGCGGGGCTTGGGGTGGTTGCTGTCAGGTGGGGGAGGGTGCGCAAGGGTGTGCGAGTGGCTGGCGAGGAACGGTGTGAGCACAGCGAGGCTCACGGAGGGTACGCGAGGGTGTGCAAGTGGCAGAAGAGGCACAATGCAAGCACAGCAGGGCTTGGGGTGGCTGCTGCCGGTTGGGAGAGGGTGCATGAGTGGCCAGGGAGGGTGTGCAAATGGCTGGGGAGGTGCTGCACAAGTGCTGCAAGGCTCAGGGAGGGTGTGCAGATGGTGGGGAGGCATGGCGTGAGCTCACTGAGGCTCAGGGAGGGTGTGCGTGGGTGTGCAAATGGGCAACAAGGTGCGGCACAAGCGCATTGAGGCTGGGGGAGGGTGCGTGGGTGAGGCTTCCCTGCCAGCTTCCCTATTGACTTTACTTGTGGGATGCTGCAACCGCAGGATGCTGCAACCATCGTAAATGCAAGCTGGTTGCCAAGCACACAGATCATGATCATGTGACTGTGGGGGTGCCCAGGCCATCCGGAACTTTGAGAACCAGTCATAACCACCACTCGCTCAGCACCATAGTAGCTTTGAACAGTCACTGAATGAGTGGTCATTAACCAAGGACTACCTGTACTTCTGTTTGTGCAGATCATTGATCTGTAAAGTTCTTTGACTGAGTTGAATGAATAGAAACCCAGCTCTAATTGCATATACAACTTTAGTCTCTAAGATATCTTCAGTTCTTCTTTTTCTGCCACATCATTAAGAGAATCACTGTCAGTTATTTGTTTGCTCTTCATGTTGAGGTTTGTTTTGTCTACTTAGAAAATGCATAGCTTATAGTTCATTATTTTCCTTCATGGAACTTCTTGGACTCTGGTCTGTGATTTAATAGCCTTTTTTTCCATCTCTCGGATAAAAATGTATCCCTGGAAGAACATAACTTTAGACCACTAGCTTCGTGACCCCATGAACCATATTGCGCCTGGCCTTCCTGTCCTTCACTGCCTCCCTGAGTTTGCTCAGTTTCATGCTCA